GTCTCTGAGGTCAGCCTCGTCTACAGAGAAAGTTCTAGGACAGCCTGAGCTAAGCAACCCAAACCAAACCCCCAAAACAAAGAATACCTTTAATCTGAGCACTCAGGAAATAGAGGCAGGTGGATATTTGTGAATTCATAGTGACTTCCAGGACAGCCAAGTCTATGTAGAGACCCTGTTTAAATATTCATGGAAGATACAGACCAATTCTAAGGAGTGATGGATCATGCACTATGTTCCCCATCAGAGCGCACCACACAAAGGCCTATGGTTCTTTACCCCTGGGAAGGGTACTTTTTCTTCAGTGACTGTGTCAGTAACTTGTCTGTTACAATATGGCTTAGTGTAGCTCTGGGGTGTAACTGGCCCTGTGCAGAAATGTGTTCTGCGAGCATAAGCAGCACTAATTTACATCATACATCTGATTGTTGACCTTCAATTGCCCTTCTCACTAATTTGCAGAAAAACTGCAAATTAGGAATCCTTAGGTACCCAATCCCTTAGTCAAAAACTAGTCAATCTATTGTCTTTTAATTCAATGTCCCAAAGGTATGATTTCCTTTTTAGACACAGGTTGTTACTAAACAATTTGGGAAGCAGCTGTTCACCCTTCAAGTCTGACGAGTAATGATGGGCCAAGGGAACTGTTGCACAAGGGTCAGTGTATTTGCTTTGAATATCCCAAGAAGCACACAGAGCACACATCTGGGTTACAAAAGCCCTTTTATAAAGCCATTTTAAAACAAAACAAACCAAAAGGTTTACAAAAGAAAAGAAAAAGATACAGAAAAGAGTAACTTGCTTCGTATGTCCCCAAAGAGAGGAAAAAAATAAAATAAAAATAAAGGGGCAACGCCAACATGCTCAATAATAAGGGGTTCTTTTCCTTACTTTTTTTTTTTTTTTTAATACAAAATACAAGCAAAGGATACACATACTTAAAACAAAGTTCAGAAGACAGCAGTCCTGGAAATCCTCCAATCAGAGCAAAGCAGGAGTTTCTTTTGTTTATGTAGTTCCATACAACTGGGATATTGAAAGTCACGTGAAGTATCACACTAGACCACCACACGATTCTACCAATGCATGTTGCATCTATAATTCACAAACATGGTCAACAAAATCATGTTCACTTTAACTTGGTTTCATTTAAATTAAAGAAAAAATAAACTTTAAATAAGTGGTTACATTCAAACTTTTAACTTCCTTAGTACCATGCTGTCTATTTCAGCACTGCTAAGGTATTGCAAGAATGCCCAACCCTCTCTGGTGTCCAATCATGGTTCTAGCCACACTGCGATATGAGAAAAAGGGTGCCTGGATACCAGCCCATAGCCTAAGATACAGTTAGGCTCGCTCTCTGACCTTCCCTGCTCAGAATATGAAAGATTAAGGACTAAGACTGAGGAAGACTGGGAGCTGTTAGAACTGGCAAATGAAGACTAAAAGATGAATCAAGGCAAACAATTACTGAGATTGCGGCTACTGCCGTAACCCGGCAAGTCATGCCTCGCAGGAATTAAGCATGTAAGGTTTGCTGCAACATGTTTATGGTAAACTATGTAGAGCTCTTATTTACAAATCTTGTAACAAATACTTCCACAAAAGGAAAAAAATTCACCAACTTCCAGAAGACAAAGTTTTAATTGCCAGACGTTTAAAAACACGCACTCACACATACCCACACTCTTCAGGATTTTATATATGTTATTTTTAGGGCATGACTGAATACAATATTCCCCAACTCACCAAGGAAGGAAGAAAAAAATCCCAATTTACCCTCCCCCCAAATCTAGAAAACCCTCCCTCACCCGATATACAAAGTGTCTGCACAACTGTGATGCTCTACAGCCATATAGAGCATGCTCAAAGAGATGTTACTGCTTCCGTTACTCGTTGGCATGGCAACAAACAGGCATATGGGACACCACCAGCCCAATAGTGGTTATTACAATCAGCACCACTGTGAATTAGGCTTTAAACAAAACTACAATTCATGGATTTGATATTCAGAATCACGTATTTTGTTTTCTAAAGACAATGAGAAAATGAGGTTGAAATAGGAACATGGCTAATTGACAGCTTGACATCCCAATACTAAAAAAAAAAGAACCAAAAACCAATAAACTCATCTTCAAGTAACTCAGCAGCTTCCCCTAGAGAGAAATGACACTACTTCACCCTCAAGAGCAACCAGTGGCTTTAACTCTCCCTCTTTGGCAGGAAGCCAGCACTGCTTGCTTTGACCTCCATCTACATACGTGAAGAGCCTACCTTGGATTTCTTCTTACCCACCCCAGGAAGGAACATTTGGTGTAGCTTCTAGTGCTACAGGTGAGAGCTGTTCTGACAGGCACTCATTCCACAACAGCAAAAAGGCTTTCTTTTGCTTCCGAATTCTGCTCTTACAGCAGCCCCTAACCCTGAGTTTCCTTACACTACTCCCCTCTCCAACCTGTAGGCCAAAAGTCCACTTGTCACCTGCATGTCCATGGTCATAAAAATAGAAGACCTATCTTCAGACAGTGTCACCTGTCATGGTGGTGTAATTCCCAGCAGTGTTAAGGGTGGAGAAGGAAGGAGGGCTCCCAGCCAGGGTACATAGTGAAACCATGTTTAAAAAAAAGGTTCAGATGACTATTCATCAAAAATCTTACTCAACTGTTACCTCAAATTACACTGATTTATCTGGAAGAAAATGTTATTTGAACTAATACCAAATAGAAGTATTTAAGAATGAAATAAAAGTTGTTTTGAAAATAAACAAAAAACAAAACAAAAAAACTAAGCAGTTTAAATGAGGCAGCCCTGGGTACACAAAATGCTGTGTTTTTAAAGAAAAGGCTTTTGTGGGGGGATTTTCTTAACACTCTAGAAGAAACATCCTACCATTAGTTTTTCTTTGTAAGGTTAATTCTGAGTGGGAGGTATTTCAAACATTTCCTTTGGGTTTCCTCTCCTAATCCCATCTGGGGTGGAGGGTTAAAAGCAGCAGTAAGTTACCACTGGGTGAGACAGAGGGTACCACTTCTGGCTGGGGGAGAGAGAGGCTTTAAGAGTCTCAAGAACTAGAATGTAGTGTTAGGCAGCAGAGAGCTGCAGCACTCACTGTCAGAGGTAACCCTAGCAGAGATGAGAGAACAGACAAGCCCCTTCCAACCAACACCCCATTTCCTGAGCACTGCAAAGTAAGACAGTGAATGCGTTGCCACCTTACTGTAGGCACACAGGAAGAAAAGAAATATATAAGAGGACGGACAGTAAGCCACGGAGGTGCCAAGGGCCAGTCACTATGAGCTTACAGCTGTGACCTAATTGCTAAGCACCTGTTTCCAGTTGAGTCACATTAAATGTCTTCCTATTTGCATGCATGATTTGAAGGAAGACCAGTGTTATAAACAACTGAGGGGGGGGGGAATTGAAAATAAAGGTCATTTGGAGCCTAAGTGCTCACTTGAGACACCCATCAACCTAAGCAGTCTGTAATTAGAAAATAGACTTCTCAATCTAATGAGTCAGTTTTAAAAGGGCCTCTAAACAAGAAGCCCACCCAGACACAAGCAACCTACAAGACAGTAATATTTCTCAACTGTAGCTAGATAAAATCAGAGATGTTAGTGCAGATTAATATATTAAAGAGACTTTAAAAAAATTGAGGCTAAAGTTGAAAGAGACCCTATGCACAAATGTTCATGACACATACCTAAGAAAGCCCAAATGTCACTAGGAATGTAAGACTGAGTTGTAAACCCTAAAAGGGAGAGATGCCTGGTGGAAACAAGGGTGAGTCTCTTTGCTTAAGGATGGGTACCTGAGCAAGCCCACTAAAGCAAACAGATAATCTGTAATACCCCACTACACAGTTCACAACTATAGATTTCATTACATAATACAATAATCCAACCACTTATATGTTCAAGTTTCTATTTTTGGCCATATTTAACACTAATTTATTAACAGTGCAGGGTTGAAATGACTCTCTGCTACTAGGTGTTTTATTTACTTTATTTTATTTTAAAGCAGATCTAAGAATGTTCTTTAAAGTGTCTTAAAAACCCCGAGTAAAAATATTTCTTAAATAACCCTTTGTCCTATGAATTCCTATAAGAAAATGACATCATCTGAAACAAACATGTCACTTAAAAAAAAAAAAACACAAAAGCAGAATACTGAGGGAGCAAATTTAGCTTAAGTGCAGAAAAATATACAGAAATTAATTCCACTAAATCTTAATTTAGTAGCATAATAGGACTCCTAAACTTTGCTTCTATTGGCGCATGGGGTATGAATCAAACCTATAGTTATTTCCCAATGCTCTGCTAAGGTGTCCAGACTGTTACCAATGGCACGCAGGCACCCTAAAATACAGTTCACTCATCCTGTTGAGGCTCAGGCTCTTGCTTTAAGGAACATAAACAGAAAGAAAGGGATCAGAACAACTAAGAAGCAAAGCAAGCAGCACGGAAGCAGCATTTAACACACTCCCATGCTGTCAGTGAGTGACAATAGTAGTATTCCATGGTAGAACTGCAAGATTCTGTAGTAACAGAAGAACTTGTGAGATGTGTATCATAGCATGCTACTATGAAGAGAAAGTTTAAATATCAAAAGGAAATTGTTTTTACCCCCAAATAAAACTGGTATGGTTCATGGGCCCTTGAAACACATTTATAGCATAGAAGAACTTCAATTATATGTATTTATAAAGGATAAATCTCAATCCTTTGTATCTGAGCTTCACATTAACTCAAACTTTATTTGCTTAAAACTTTTAACATCATCAGTCTGTAAAGAAATGCACCGTGAGGTGCACACTCATCTTGTCATCAGAGTTCTAGGGAATCTCTTTGTAAGGTCTTGATCATTGGTAAAACGATCCAAAAAACAGGATTTATATATTTTTTTTTTTTAAAAAACATGAATTAATGAAAACATGAATGAAACATGAAATTAAAAATGATTCTGGGTTCTGGTGGCCCGTTTTTTAGAAAAACTTATTGAGACAAAAGGACCACTGGCTCCAAGCATCTTTGAGAATAACAAATATAAAATAAGAACACCCACATTTCCAGATAAGCTCCAGGAAGCCCATTCCCTTCACACCCAGGGGATAATGTGAGTACTGAGTTAACAACCCAGAATTCATGCTCACCTCCCAACTGCCTCATCAGTGTTCAGTTTAGACTCATGATTCTTTTTGACATTGACATTTTAGACATACAAACTCATGTTAAATGACAACTGGTCTGTCAAAAGTACAGGAAAAGAAAGAACAATAATTTTTAACTAGAACTTTTCTAGTTTTTTTGATTACTGTTCAAGTTGCTGTTCTTTAGCAAAAAGCGGTTCCATAGTGTCCATCTCAAATCTTATTGCTTTACAGCCGTGGGATTCCTAACTTCCATTAAAAATGCGAAGACCAAGCAGTCAACCCAGTGATTAATTGACATGGCTTTCATCAGGAGAGGGGGAAGGAGGGATTGGCAAAGAAATAAGACCATTGGCAAAATGGCAACCTAACCCTTTCAACATACAATGGTTCTGAGAGTGAGAAATCGAGATAGACAGAAACATTATTATTTTAGACAAATGAAATAGCGCTGAAAGCCCATGAGTCAAGCCACAGCCCAAACCATGTCCTATATACGTTTCCTTTTTGTCTTTTGTTTTTGTTTTTTTTAATAAAATCTCTCCCCAAACATCACTTTTAATCTTCCCCAGATGGGGCTTCATCTTCAGACCCTTCGTCTCCAGATTTCTCGAGTGGAGGGCTTGTAGCGGCCTTCTTTTCTGGAGGGCTTTCTGCCTCCTCATCCTCTTCTTTGGGAGAAGGAGTTTTTTCCTTTGATGCCTTTGAAGCTGTGGGACGACCCACTTTTCCTTTGCCTTTCACAGGACTTGGTGTCACTGAAATACAGAAAGTAACAATTTGGGGACAGAAAGAGAAAAAAATGCCTTAAAAAAAATCCAGCTACAAAAATACAAGTCTGTAAACATAAAACAAAACAAAACCAAAAACAAACAAACAAACAAACAAACAAACAAAACCCCACACATCCACAGAAAAAGCATTTATTCCTAATGAGGATAATATGGCATTCTGAGCAGAAACTGGAGCCAGTTTTTGGAGTGCCATCATCCTCTACAGTAGGTATAGAGATGAACCCTTGAAGACCCAGATGAATCCTTATTGTCATGGGTGGTTTTGTTTCTATTGTGTCTACTGTCAGTATGTAGAGAGCTTTCTTAGTTGAAGGACCGACAACAGAGTCAGTACTATGTGACCACAGTGAGGGACACTGACTCACACAAACAGGTCATTCCCACACACAAGCCAAGCACACAGGTTCTTTTCATTTTTTATATTTATTTATTTTTATGTGCACTGGTGTCTTAGCTGCATGTGTGTCATGTCTACGGAAGGGTGTCAGGTCCCTTGGAGGTGGTGCTAGGTGTGAGCTGCCATGTGGGAGTTGGGAATTGAACTGAGGTCCTCTGGAAGAGCGGCCACTGCTTTAATCACTGAGCCATTTTGCCAGCCCATTCTTTTTATTTTCTTTCAAGATTTATTTTATTGTTTTTACTATGTGTGTGCCTATATGTGGGTAGCTGGGGTCACAGTGGCTATTCTGCCCGATGCAGCTGTGGGATGAAATGTGAGTCCTCTGGGAGGACATCTCTCCAACCCCCAGCATTCCCAAAAGGAACAAAGGAAAGCCCTTTGGATTTCTTGCATTTCTACCAAACCCAAGGCCAATGCTGCAACCTGATGAAGAGTCTGTATTGAGAAGAGTTAGTTCTTAAAAACACTTGAATGGCAGAGATGTGGTTTTACTTTCGGGGCCTCACCTGTAGCCTTTAGTCTGGGTTTTGGCATTTTCTTTTCTTTTCTCTCAGGTTTGGACTTCTTAACCATCTTTTTGTTTTTCTTTTTTGAACTGCCATAATCACTATCATCATCGTCTTCCATTAGGAAATCTTCATCGCTGCCAGAATCTTCTGAGAGGAAAGAAGAATTTCAACGTCCAACTTAAATGTATACACCCTTCCAAGTGAAGGGAGGAAAGAGCCCTGAGAAAGACAGTCGACATGACTGGATTCAACAAGGACTTCCACTACCAACTTGGTCAGAGTTGTCCCTGACCCACTATAGAATGGGTACAGTATGGACTACACTAAGATACCATAATGTAATATAATATAGTATCTTGGAGTAGAAAGGTTAGACAGATTTCCTACAAATTCTACTAATCCTTTCTTTTAAATCTAAAGGAATTTTAACCTATTTGTGTTTTGCCATTGGTGTCAGGTCCCCTGGAACTAGAGTTATAGTTACATGTGAGCTGTCATATGGGTGCTGGGAATTGAACCTGAGTCCTCTGGAGGAGCAGTCAGTGCTCTTAACCACTGAGCCATCTCTCTAGCCCCATTTCTACTGATTTGTTAAAAAAAAAATTTAATTTTCCACTTATATAAACATACAAGCGTGTGGGATGCTCCAGAAGAGAATCCTCTAGAGGAGGAAAAGCTGAGCCATCTCCCTATCCCCATAGTTTTATTCCTGCTTTGTTTTGGAGACAGGATCTCTCTGTGTAGCTCTGGCTGTCACAGAACTCACTCTGTAGACCAGGCTGGCCTCTGCCTCCTGAGTGCTGGGATTAAAGGTCTGTTCCAGGACACTCAGGCGCACAGTTCTATCTTTCAACTGTTAGCATCTACTTGATTCAAGGGACTGGACACAAACACTCAGCTTCTTAGAAAATACCAAGGTCATTAACTACATTTGCAAAGGAGATGAAGCTCCACTGACTGAGCACTCGCCTAGCATCCACGAAGCCCTGGTTAGATTCTCACTTCTCCACGAAACTGGGAGAGGTGGTAGAAGCAGATCAGTGCTTCAAGGCCACCCTCAGCTACACAATAAACTGAGGCCAACACAGGCTAGAGCAGGGCCTGTGTAGACAAACCACTAAAGGACAGTCAGTCAGTAGTCTCACGTACTCTCCTGGAAGGGTGCCTCATCATCTTCTTCTGGCTCTTCCTCACTGCCAACATCTTCCAAGAGCATCTCTCTCTGTTTAGAAGCTGCTTTGGATGCCGCCTGTCGTTGCTGGCGTACATTTTTATGATCATCTTTCTCGTCTTCACTGTCATCTGCAATATAAAAGTTACTGTGACACAATAACTCCAATAATCAAGGAATTTTCCATCTGCTGACAGAGGATATAGCTGTTTAACTTCACTCAAAAAGGAGTAAAATCTACCCTTAAAAATTTCTTAAAGTTGGGGCTGGAGAGATGGCTCAGTGGTTAAGAGAATTGGCTGATTAAGGACCTGGGTTCGATTCCCAGCCCACACAGCAGCTCACACCTACCTATAACTCCTATTCCAAGAAAAACACCAATGTACATAAAGGTAATTAATTATAAAGTTAAAAAAATTCCTTAAAGTAGCTGGGTGGTGGTGCACACCTTTAATCCTAGCATTGGGGAGGCAGAGGCAGGTAGGTCTCTGTGAATTTGAGGTCAGCCTAGTCCACAGAGTGAATTGCAGAACAGCCAGGACTACACGGAGAGACCCTGTCTTGAAAAACCAATAACAAACAAACAAAAAACACCAAAACAAACAAAATCCTTAAAGCCAGATATGGTGATATATATCTATAGTCTCACCTGGAGACCAGCTAAAAAATAAACCTTGCAGGGTCCGTGGGGGCCACAATCAAGGAGTCAGGTGGGTCATTGTAATAAGCAATTATGTGTGGGAGATAAGGAGAAGCAGGATGAGTCACGCATTGTGGAAAGACACAGAAAGCAAGAAATGAAGACAGTGAGAAGTGGGATCATGTTGGAGGCCTGGTTGCCAGCCAAGGCCATATCTGGGTTCCTGGTCATACAGCAGCCAGGATTTATGTTGATTTCAGTGGCTCCTATCCCCATTGAATGCCACTGGCCTGGGCCTTCTCTGTCACCTGGGGCCATGGTGACAACTAGACCCAGGCTGCTGCAGAGGACCATTTCTGGGTCTGTGGCTCCACCACAGCCAAGATCTTATGCTACTGTCCATGGCCCAAGCCTAGGTGCTGGGCACACAACCTGTGGCCTTGTTAGTGTTCAAGAGCCATGCTGCCAACTAGGCCAAGCTACTGTGGGGAGGGGGGCGCTCATGTCTGAGTCTATGTTGTTGATGTCTATGGCAAAATGAAATTGGAAGGTCATGCTGAGCCAGTTCTGCCCTTCGTTGGCCCTGGGAGAGCTGGCCCCTACACTCAGGAGAGATGGACACACCCCAGCAGAGGGCAAACGGACCCTGATGGCATGAATGTTGGGGAGCTGACTCTGACACCTCACTGGGTGGCCCCAGTGGCCTGGACAGACCAGCTCAGCTACTACCCAGGCCCACAGACTATCCTTGGGTGTTGGCCCACCCTAATATCTACCCCAGCTAAGACCTGCTGGAGCTCATGAAAGGACCTGTGGAATAATAACTACAGGATCTCCATGACTCAGGGAGGCCACAGGGTATCCCAGGCTTTTCGGTGAGGATCCAATGATGATGGTGTATCACAAACCAGAGGCTTTGAACCAGACCAGTGAGTCACTGCAATGGACAAAAGGGTTTACTGTACGACACACTGAGGACCCCAATGCTCACACCAGGATGAATGAAGAGGTGTTGGGAAAGGCAGGAAAGAAGGATAAGCAAAGATGTTTGTTGTTGTTTTTTTTCCCCTCATTTTAATTTGCTTGATTATTTTTTTTTTTTTTGGTAGGAGGGCATTGTAGGGCTGAGAGGATATGGGGAGACCAGGAGGTGAATAGAATTGGGGTGCATATGAAACTCTCAAGGAATCAATAATCCTGCAAAAATAGAAGCAGTAAGGAAGCCTTCCAATTATCTCTATTCTAAGATATAAAAACACATAAAAACCGTGCTAAATTACTACTCCATACAATGTGTTGGGTGACCTTTAGAGTCAAGCAGAGGGAAATCTTTAAAAGCCCATTATTTAAATGAGCTAGCTAAGCATCCAAGGACAAGCTTATAAAAATTACTCTCACACACTACAACAAATTAACTAATGTTTCACCAAAGCAGTGATTTAGCCTGCAAACTGAAGGTCAAGCTGCTAGCCTAGTAGCTCTAGACTAAGCTTTATTTTATTAGTCTTTACTTAGGGCTCTTTCCTGAAGGTTTAGGCTTCCTTGCTCTAGTTTAGCTGTCATACTTTTAAAACAGTCCCATAAGGCTTACCCTGGTCCACAGTTTTCTTTTGAGGAAAAAAGAGGCAAGGCAGCGGTGGCGCACACCTTTAATCCTAGCACCCAGGAGACAGAGGCAGGTGGAGCTCTGAGTTTGAGGCCAGCCTGATCTACAGAGCTCGCTCTAAGACAGCCAAGGCTACACAAAGAAATCCTGTCCCGAAATGGCAAAAACCACCCCCAAACCAAAAAACACAGTACCTTTTATTTATTCTTTGAGAATAAAAACATATACAATGCATTTTGAATTTTTTTTTTGAAACAGGTTTTCTCAGCATAGGTAACCTACTAGTGGCCAATTTCCAGTAAATATTAACTATCCAAGAGTTTCTACACAATGGTTGGGTTTTTATAAGGCTCTCCCCCTCATGGTCAATGTTTAACTATTTCTAGTGCCAAAGATCTCATCTAGAGACAATTAGAGAATAAATCTGACTATGGCAGACCCTAAACTAAACTCAGCTGGCAAGAGTTGTGCTTAACACAACTACAGAGTCATGCATCTTGAAGTTTTAAAAATCTTGATAAAGGTAAGAAATTCAAATTAGGGCTCGCTCACAAAGTACATGAATGGAATGGCAAAGCATACTACATTATCTCTGGGTCACTACATAGTATAATTTAAGTAGGAGAGAAGGCAATAACATGCCAGTAGAGTCAGTCAACTTAGCCAAATGTTGTCAATTTTTTGTATTTTTGTTCACCAGCAGTCATGGAAAAAGGACATCTATGAAGTCAAAAGAGGGTCACCACTGGTGACAATTAAAGGAGCTGGAAGCAATGAGGGATACAGAAAGCTAAAGTCAGCAGATGCGGGTACTGGGAATGGAACTCGGGTTCTCTGTAAAAGCAGCCAGCACTCTAGAACTGCTGAGCCAGCTCTCTAGTCCTTCCATAATTTTTTGACAGGATCTCTTTATGTAAGCCCTGGCTGGCTTTGTACTTTGCAGCAATTCTCCTGTCTCAGCATCTAGAATACTGGTGTTAAAGTTATATTTTACCATACCCCATTAACATTAATTCTTTTACCTAAAATTTTACAAAGTATTTTCCCCATGGCTATTATTTCAAATGGCATTTACTCAGTTTGCTGTAACTTCTTTATTCATGTAAAAGTTGAGTAACAGCTGGGCATGGTGGCCACACCTTTAATCCCAGCTCTGAAGAACCAAAGGCAGGTGGACCTCTGAGTTCAAGGCCAGCCAGATCTATATGAGTTCTGGCACAGCCAAGGTCACATAGTGAGATCCTGTCTCAAACAACAAGACAATTTTGTTTTTGTTTTTCAAGACAGGGTTTCTTTGTGTAGCTCTGGTTGTCCTGGAACTCACTATGCAGACCAGACTTGTCTAAATGCACAGAGATCCATCTACCTCTGCCTCGGTGAGGGCTGGGATTAAAGGTGTGAGCCACCACTGCCCGGCAAAACAAAGCATTTAAAAAAAAATTTTTTTAATTTATTTTGCTTTTTTAAAAATATTTTTATCTGCATTTGTGCTCTGCCTACGTGTATGTCTGTATGAGGGTGTTGGGTTTTCTGGAACTAGAGTTATGGACAGATAGATGTGAGCTACCATGTGGGTACTGGGAATTGAACCATGGTCCCCAGAAGAGCAGCTAGTGCTCTTAATTGCTAAGCTATTTCCCCAGCATATCCTGTAGATACTTAAAAAAAAAAAAAAAAGCCATGAGGATGGAGAATAATTTTTGCCTCTGAAAACAAGCATTTTTATAATTCTAGTATTTGAAAGTATCTGACATACAAAATTGCTTATTAATAAATGAAGAGAATGAAGAGTATATATTTATTCCTACTGCAATAAATATAGTTTACCTGCTGAGTGAGAATCATCCTTCTTAGTCTTTACATCTTTTTCTTCTGAATCTTCACTGTAAAGAAAAAGAAAAAAAAAAATACTTCTAAGCCTTAGATCAAAGTCTAAATGACCCATGGGAAGCATGGCTACACTTGTAATTCTAGCAGCAAGGATGCTCAGACAGGAGGGCTGACATCAGTTCTGACCCATCCTGGGCTACATAGTGTGTTTTTAGGCCAGCTTGACCTAAAGAACACGACCCTAAACTGGGTACAGTGGCACATGCCTTTAATCTGAGCACTTGGGAAGTAGAGGCAGATGGATTTCTGTGCAGGCAATGACAGCCTGGTAAATAGGAAGCTTTATCTTTTAAGTAAAGACCTAGTCAGTCAAGGTTACACAGAGAAACCTATCTCAAAAAACACAAGAGATTCTGTCTTGAGACAACAAAAATAGTATGATCAGATTTCCAATATTGGAATTGGAAAGAACACTGATAATGCTTCACACATAAAAATGCCTGGACAAGGCCAAGGTGGTGGCGCTGTCTCTAATCCCAGCACTCGGAAGACACAGGCAGGCGGACCTCTGTGAGTTCCAGGCCAGCCTGGTCTATAGGGCAAATTCTAGGACACCCACAGCTTATTACATACAGAGAAACCCTGTCTTGGAAAAAAAAAAAAAAGTTCAAACAGATGCCGAGGAATGAAAATGCTTCATTATTCCCTTACCTTACAGGGATGCTACTGAATAGTATAATTTTACTCCTCATGGAAAAATAAACTGTCCCAAGACTCAATAGGAAAGGGAGTAGGTATCTTGAACAAACAAAAACCCCAAGGACCCAGCACGAGCAAGGCTCCCAGTTTCATCCCTCTTCCCAGGGCCACAACAAACAAAAAACAATGAAGGAAAGTTTATAAATCTAATTTTTAATGAAATGTGTGACTTTCTCTGGCTATTTTAATGAGCAAAGTCAGGGAAAAGCTTAATTTTTAAATAAGAAATGAATAGAAGAGTCAACAAAATCTTATAGGTTTACATCAACCAACCTAAAGGTTAGTCTGAGCTATGCTCTAAGATCCTACCTGGCCCCTGACCAAAAACCAAACAACAAAGAAAAACTTCAGGTCATTATAGATACCAATGAGACAATGTTAACAGACCATAAATGGTTCATATTTAGGAGAAATAGAAGTGGCTACAATAAAGAAAAATATTTCTAAGTTGGGCTATTTAAAGCTGGGTAAGACAGATACACCCTAAACTTGAGAAGGTCTGTCTCCCAGTGGCATAACATTGAATCAATACATTTATAGGGATTTTTTAAATATTCTATGTCTTAATTTTGTTTTAAAATTATTCTCTCATGTGTATAGGTGCTTTGCCTGCATGTGTCGGTGCACCAAATGTGTCCCTGGTGCCCATCAAGCCCAGAAGATGGCTTTGGATTCCCTGAATCCAGGGTTACAGACTCTGTGAGCTATTATGTGGATACTAGGAATGAAAGGACCCTGTCTGGGTCCTCTACAGGAGCAGCCAGTGCTCTTAACCACTGAGCCATTTCTCCAGCTTCCATGAGTCTCAGAATGGTTGAGAAATACTATTTCATTTCTTTGAATTGCTTATCTGTATGTAATAGGAGCCTGATGGTTGAAAGTGGAATTTATGGTCTACCGAGTATGGTTTCAAAATCAAAATCAGCCCCCTGCTTCATTCACTCAATCCCCCAACCTTACAGATGTGTTGTTATGAGAATTGACAATGTATATAAAGCACAATATAGCCTGACACTAAAATTCTTACATCATCATCATCATCATGTCTTAAAGTTATACACCATGAAAAGTGTCTGTTCACTTTTAAAACCAGGAGAAAAATTCTATCTTTCTGCTGTCAGTGTAGTTATGTTACAGTCAAATCAAAACTCATCCAATTCATGCGATTTGTGAAACTAAGGGAAAAAGACTGGAGATGACTAGCTAGCTCAGTGGCAGAATGTTTGCCCAGCACATTTAAGGTTCTGGCTCCATTCTTAGCACTACAGCAAGAAAAACAACTGGGAGGAGGCAAATATCTAAAATAATCACTTGAACAAGAAAAGAATCATTTTGAGAGTAAAATTCAGAGCTTAGACTTCCATAAGCTTTAGTTACGGTTTTCTGCTATTGATCATTACAATCAAGTGTCAATATCAACCTTAGATAACAAATTACAAACTTAAAACATGCTTTTGGCTCATGTTCTTAAGTTTGAGGAAGCAGCAAAAAGCATTCCTGGAGATCACTTCTGATCCAGAGTTCAGACCAAGTTGCTTTCAGGAAAAGGCTGACCTGCAGGCCCAGAAGCTGAGCCTACACGGCAGGACAGACTGCATACAAAAAATCCATCCAGTTCTAGTACACGGACTATCTTCATTTTACAGCTCTGACAATGTAATTAGAAAGATAAAAACAATGACGCCTCCTACCTGTCTTCTTGTGAATTCTTTCCAGATCGCCTCTTATTTTTAGCTTCTCGAGGAGATGACCGAATTTTCTTAGCAGGAGGGCCTGAATCTCTTCCATAATCTTCATCTAAGCAAGCAATTTTTCAAATCCAGTTAATTATGACATTTACATGTTGAGACCACACATTATTCCTCATGCTATTCAAATAAATGTAACCAGATTTCCCTCAGGGTTTCTTTAGTTAAAAAGGAGAGGGGGAGCTAGAGAGATGGCACATGCTGTCCTTCCAGAAGCCTCGGGTTTGAGTCCCAGCACCTGCATGGAGGCTTACAACTCTAGTTCCAGGATCAAATGCCGTCTTCTGGCCTCTACAGATACCAGGCATGTAAGTGGTACAAGTGTACACGAGCACCAAATACTTATACAAACAAAAAAGTATTCTTAAAAAACTGGGGTTAAGGCCAGGTGGTGGTGGCACACGCCTTTGATACCAGCACTTGGGAGGCAGAGTTCAAGACCAGCCTGGCCCTCAGAATGAGTGCCAAGAGAGGCTCCAAATCTATACAGAGAAACCCTGTCTTGAAAGAAACAAACAATCCCCTCCCCTCAAAAAACCGGGGCTAGCAATTTTACTAAACCAAATTGAATTACTTTATTGTTGGGTTTTTGAGGCCACTTTACCTTTTACAACAACCTACTTTCTATAATGGTCTCAATTGTTTACACAACCATAGCAAAACATTAGATGAAACTCCTCCGTCTTCTCCTAATGTTCGCATGAAGGTGCAAACTGAACCAGGTAAGTGTGGATGGAACAGTGTGTAAGCAAGGTTAATCACTCTCTGATGATTTGATGTAAAAAATTGTATTTTGTGTATTTTTAAAATAAATGCCAACACTATTAACTGACCAAAAACAACAAAAAACCCCAAAACAAAACTAAACTAAACAAAAAAACTCCTGGGGCTAGGAGTATTTATTACCTAACATGCAGTTGGTTAAGATCTATGTACAGTACCACAAAAATAAATAAATTGAAAAGGTTCAGAAAGGTGGCTCAGCAATTAACAGTACTTTGCTGAACAACCATGAAACCGGATTCAGACACCCAGAAGCCAAGGTAGGAAACCTCACTCCCACAAGTTTTTTTCTCACTTCCTCTCATGCCCACACTCATAATACAACTAAAAATAAATAGAACTTTAAAACTCCTCACCAGCCCCACCTATTTTACATAATTACATATTATCGTCTAGTCCTTATATACACACACCTTATACATTTACACTATAGTTTGTCATTTTATACTATTCCCATTTAATTTATGGTTTTCCCACATTTCAACATCTTCGTATTTACCTAAAATTTCAGTCATATAATTTTATTATAAATATCTTTTAAGATCTAAAATCTACAATCTTAACACAATATTGTGATCAAGTAAATTACTCTTAAACTAAAGTATTAAATATATAATGCACTCTGGATACTCATAACTTTAGAAAAATACCTCCAACTGCAAAAGACCCATAAGAAACCCTTACCTTGAATGATTACTCCCAAGCCGTTAGTTACTCCACTACCACATGTAACAGTGAGAATCTAGAATTAGCCTGGGACTTCAGCAATTCTTAAATTGCTGGATTCATTATGAATTCCTTAACAGAATAGCCTAACCATTACCAGCAACGTTTATTTTAATTATGTGTGTGGGTAGAGTATATGTGATTATGGGCACATGAGCTCATCATGGATGTTGAGAACTGAACTCAGGTCCTCTGCAACAGCAGCATATGCTATTTAACTATTGTACCATCTTCTGCTTCTTAAAAATAACTAAAAGAAAAAAGAAAAACAGGCCTAAGTAAGGCAGACTGGTGCAGTGCCTGACCCTTAACCGTGCAGGGCAGTGGTGGGCACCTTTAATCCCAGCACAAGGGAGGCAGAGGCAGCTTGGTGTACAGAGCGAGTTCCAGGACAGTTCCAAAGCTACAGAGACCCTGCCACAAAAACAACCAACCAACCAACCAAACAAACAAACAAAAAACCCAAACAAAGAAACAAAAACAACTAACCAAACCAAAAAAACCCAAACAAAGAAAAAATAACCAACCAACCAACCCAAAAACCCAAACCAACCAACCAACCAACCAACCAAAAAAAAAAAAAAAAAAAAGCCATCAAAAATGACCCCTACTCACATTAAAAACAAATAAGAAAACATTTATTTGAGTGTGGGAGCATGCTTGCCAGGTTGTACGTGTAGAAGACAGAGGACAGCTTCCATGAATAGATTCTCTCCATCTACTATGTGCATTCTAGAGATCAAATTCAAGTTCTTAGGCTGGGCACCAAGTGCCTCTGCCTGCTGAGGCCCTTAACTACATTTTTTAAAGTTAAAGTGAAAAAGAAAAGGCCAAAACAGCTACCCGCCAACTAAGTATCAACTCTGCTCCAGTTTCCTTAACTGCAAACGAAACAGGAGATTCAGTAACAGTATTGCTCTAAAACCCAGCCTGGACTACCTGTCACACTGCTGTGCTTAGTTAGCAATAGGTATTTTACATAAATAAACACTTCATTATAAATGACTGGACATTTCACCTTTGGAGTCTAAAACCAGATAAGAAAAAAGTCAGGTGTTTATTTCAATGATTAGAAAAAGCTAAATGCCAGGCATAGTGACACACCTGCAATCCAGCAATTGTGAGGTTAAGGCGAAAGCATTTTGAGGTCAAGGACAATCTGGGCTACATAACCGAGCTTATATCAAAGAAAATGGGCAAGTTCACGTTTTGTTTGCTTTGACACAGATCGCTGGGTACTTTTAAATAATAGATCTTTAAAAGCGTGACTGACAAAGAGCACATAAGCTGACAGGTCTGTCAGCACAATACATGACTGGCAGAAATCAAACATACCTGCATCATCTGACTCCTGAAACTGTGAGTAATCAACGACCTTCCTATTTCTGCAGAAAGAGACAAATTTAGATGATTAAAAAAAAGTTTGAATATACATTTCAGTTTTACAAACAGAATAGTTCCCACCCAGGTGTAATGATGCATGCCTTTAATTTCAGTTCTAGGGAGAGAAAAGCAGGCAGGTCTGAGTTTGAGGCTAGCCTTGTCTGTGTACCCAGTGAGATATGAGACTTTGCCTCAAAGCAAACAGACAAAATCAACTCTCAAACTTACAGCACTTACCTCAGTTGACAGGCTAACCTGTTCTTCCCAAGCTTTAGATTTCCCACCTCCCCAAGAACAGAACAGGCAAGCAGGGCCTTTCACCACATGTATTCATTACATACAGGTAGATATTTTCCACATTATACATTGCCGTGGAACAATCTTTGTACACTGTAAATATGTCTTATTCCCATTGGTTAACAATGAGCTGATGGGCCTACAGCTAGGTAGGAATAAGGGTGGGGGTCTCAGGAGAAGCAGAGTCAGCATGGGAAATTTGTACATGAGGTAAATAAGCTTCAGGGCAGCTCATACATAGAAATTGGTTAATTTTGTTATGAGAGCTAGCTAAAGACAAGCTTAAGCATTCATAATAAATCTTAAGTCTTTGTGTGCTTATTTGGGGAGTGGCTGGTGGGACATTAAAGTCTACTTACAATACATATACATTCATGGGTGAAATTTTTTAAGTGTTAAACTCCCTCCCTGCCCACTTTTTTCTGTACTATACAGCCCTGGCTGTTCTGGAACTTGCTTACATAGACCAGGCTGTCCTCTTACTCAAGAGATTCTTTGCCTCTGTCTCCCTAGTACCAGGATTAAAAAGGTATTTGACACCATACCTGGTTTTTTCTTTTGCTTTTTTGAGAAACTGTTTCACCATGTAGCCCTGGTTATTCTGGAACTCACTGTGTCTACTAGCCTAGCCTAGAATTCAGAGATCCACCTGACCCTGAACCCAGAATGCTGAGATTAAAGGTGTGCCCTACCACCAGCCTGCCTTTTTTCCGGGGAGGGGTGCTATATTATTTTTACTGTTATATACATAATCACTTATACTTGATAAAACAAGATTACTGCTAGGCAAAAAAGTTTTTAAGATATACAATGCTCTCAAATTATGATAAAAATAAGCTTTAGAAGAATTTTTTTTTTTTACTGCTTTTAAAAACTGTGTTTTATATGTACGTTATCTATGTATGTGTATGCACATCGTATGTGTTCTGGTACCCATGGAGGACAGAAGGTCTCAGACCCCTGGAACTGGAGGTAGGTGGTTGTGGGGGATGCCTAACTTGGATGTTTGCTTTTTGTTTTGAGACAGGATCTCACTGTAGCAAAACCTGACTTCAAACTCAGGATCTTCCTGCTTCCCCTGCTCCAATTACAGACGTGTACCAGCACACCTAACCAGTGCAATTCTGCCTTCTGTATTGTCCTATAAAAACTGTGAGATCTGGAGATGATTTTGAAGTATATAGGAGAATGTACACAGGTCACATACAGCACTCTACATAAGGAACTTGAGAAGTGTACTTGGATGCTTGTTATAGGGCTAAAGTACATTTTTTAATAAACTGGAAGATGAGAAAATCTACCATTATCAAACCTAACGTTTAAGAGGAGGATTTATTTTTAGCTTAAACAACAAAAAGCTTGTCAAAATCCCACTAGAGAGCCAGAAATGATAGCACAAGCTTGTCATCCAGTCCCTAGGAAGTAAAGACAGGAAGATCAAGGGTTTGATGTGGACTAAGCTGCAGAGAGCTCTAGTCTCAACTTGCTACTATGTAAATACAACTAGCAGAAATGTGAGCAAATACACTATTTCAACATAGCACAGATGACTGAAATAAACTAAATCAGGGCCCTGCCACAAACTAGTTCTATGTCCTTGAGCAAAGAGTCCCTCCCTCGCTCCTGGCTGACCATGTTTTTCAACTGTAAAACAGGAGGAATACAAACTACTCAAGAGTAGGGCTGGAGGCATGGCTCAGGGCTACCGTGCTCTTGACCAGGTCCACTCACTCCCAGCAGGTGGCTCAACTCTTACAACTCTAGCTCTAGAGAAGACTACTCACTCATCTGGACTCCACACGCACATACCCACACACAATTAGAAATAAACATGCATTTTCTAAAAGTTTGAGACAGGGTCTCACTATCTAGCCTTGGCTGGCTTGAACTCATTGAGATCTGTCTGCCTCTGGACTAAAAGTATATGCCACTACACCCACCAAAAATGAAATAAATCTTAAAACAAAAGTTACTCAAGATTGTGCTGAGAACGAGTGCTACATAAATAATAACTAATAAACATACCAGTTGTTATTACTGCTATCTCCTTACTTTCATGTAAACGTATTTCTAGCCTTTTGGCAGTTTTCAAGTTTCCTTTTAGGTGGGGAAGAGTAGTCACTTTCATTTTTGATCAAGAGTTCAGAAGAGGCATTCAGATCCCCTCAAACAGGAGTTATTTATGGATGGTTGTGAGCCACCATCATGTAGGTGGGGGGTGGGGGGACTGAATCTAGATCATCAGAAGAGCAGCCAAAAGACATCAATTGAATTATACCAACTGCTATTATTTAAGTCAACTGGAGTTATATCCAAATGAGTCTAAAAGTTTGTACTAGAAAGAAAAATCTCCAACATAAGGAAACATGAAAGACAAGAATGCTCAGGGGTGGAGGAGGTGAGCAACCCAGAAATGTTCAAATTTTAATGATGTATCTGTACTTACTGTGCATTTATTTATATTGAAAATGTAACATGAAGCTTGAAATGGTGGTATATGTCTGCAAGCAAGGCACTGGGTGGCGGAGATAGGAAGGTGCTTTGCAGTGAGCATGAGGCCAGCCTGAGCTATACAGATTTTGCTTTAAATACAAAAGAACGTACCTTTTAGGCCAGAGTCTAAGTCAGTGAAGAATGTCTTATTAGTGGCTCCCTACCCCAGATAAAAATGGGATGGGGGTTGCTTGTTTACAATGAACTAATTGGTCCTGAAAATGGGTGAGTTGAAGTAGTTTAAAGGTAACAGGACTTTAAAGGTGGGGCATGGTGGTACAAATTTGTAATCCCAGCACTTGGGAAGTAAAGGCAGGAGAACCAGGCCAGCATCTTTAGTTACTTAGATGAGTCGAAGGGTAGTCTGAGCTAAGTAAGATGCTGCCTCAACACCTTCACACCAAAACAATAGTATTTTAATTATCAACTTCTTTCTTTTAAAGCAACAATGTTGAGGGCCGATAAAATGGGTAAAGGTACTTGTCATCAACTCTGATGACCAAGTTCAATCTATAGGACCAGCATGGTGGAAAAGGAGAATGGCTCCCATGGTTGTCCTCTGTCCTCCACATGTCATACAAATAAATGCACGCAATATTTTTTTTTTTTTTTTTTTTTAAAGAATGAGAACAGGATTTCTCTTTAGCTTTGGAGCCTGTCCCAGAACTCGATGAGTAGATCAGGTTGGCCTTGAACTCAGAGATCCGCCTGTCTCTGCCTCCCATTAAAGGGTGTTTTAGAGTTAGAAAAAAACCTACCGTGTTTTGAAATTATTTCACTTAACCCCCTTAATTTTACAATGAGAAAATGGGACTGAGGCCACAGAACTGAGCTGTGTTTTGCTTTGAGACAAGTGCTCACTATGTAGCTTTGACTAGCATAGAACTCACTATGTAGACCAGGCCAGCCTTGGATTCACAGAGATCCACCTGCCTCTGCCTCCTGAGGCTACAATTAAAACTGTGTGCAAATGATCCCACCCCTAGAATTTAATGGTGTGTAATAAGTCTATCCATCTATCTGAAATCTACATAAGGAAAGCTGAGTTAACAGTCAATTGCAAAATCTTATCCAATTATCAGAACCTTATAATTTATACCATGGAGAAAAAACAGCCATCTAAAAAAAATAACTCTAAGAGACTTTTAAACAATCTAAAGTTCAACCAATGCTTGACTGAACTGCTACTTCTATCCCAAAGTTAATTTGTTATTATAAAAACTTTCAGGGGGCTGGAGAGGTGGCCCAGCTATCAAATAACACTGGCTGAGTTCAGATTCCAGTATCTGAGTGAATCAGGTGGCTTACAACCACTTACAACTCCAGTTCTAGAGGATCCAATACTCTTTTGGCACAAGACACCCAAATGGCACACATATATACATGTTGGTAGTCAACATCTCATTTATCAAATGAATGAGATCCTGCAGAACAATGTTTTTCAACTTATAGGCCATAAACCTGTTACTGGGCCACGGAATCATTTACTCGTGCATAAACAGCATTTTAAAAGAAAAACAGCAAATAGAAAATAACAAGAAAACAACCGCACTAACGCACCTAAGTTCACAATCTTTCAAGTATTTATATTCTTATACAAAGTCGATTATAAAATACACAGACTTCAACTGGAATTCTACCAAAGTAGTTCAAGAGCCACTTGGGGGGTGGGGGGAGACTGCAGAGACACTTGGGTACTTTTATTTGTAAACCTACATATCCACATGGTGTGCAGTGTTCACGGTGGGTGTGTCTCCCCACACCCAAGCACTGGAGTTGTGGATGGTTGTGGGCAGCAGGTCCTCTGGGAGACAGCTAATCACTGAGACATCTCTTTAACCCTTCCTCTTCTATTTTGGTCTAAAATTGGTGACCATTCTATTTTAAACTTCCTATGTGCAGAAAATATGGAGCACACCTGGCTCAAATATCTTTCTTTTGTGGCAGCAAATTTCTTAAAAGTTTAAACATTGTCAGCCAGATGTAGTTGTGCATGCCTTTAACCCCAGCATGAGGGGAGGGGTTGCAGAGGCAGGCCAGAGTTCTGAGGCTATCATGGTCTACACAGTAGGCTCCAGGACAGCCAGGGCTAAGGTGACCTGTCTCAAAAAATAAATAAAAATAAAGACCTACCAGATTTTGGTAGTAGCGTTAGGAAGACACAGCAATATTCTGCAGGTTCTGTTATGGATACTAAAGTCTAAATAATCTT